CATGAGTGTGACTGGAACTAAGCAGATGGTGGAGGCAGAGGTGCATTTTTCACTGCATGCTTCTGAAAAATATTTTTACATTTTGAGCCACGTCTGCAGTTCTTACATATTGCATTTTAATTAGCTGTCTGCAATAGCCAGTTCTACCACAAAGACATACTGAGTACTCGAGATTTGTCCAGATACTTCTAGCATTTGAAAAAAATCCCATTTATATAATTTCTGTATGCAAGAAAGCCTGTAGAAATTAATTTTAAGGTTAAGGATGCTTGTTCTTCAATTGCAAAGGGAAAATGTTTATAAGATTAGGACTGAAATGTCACCGTGTGAAACTATCGCTTGGAGCCTGAAGATACACCCTTGGTACAAAGAACAATTCACTTAACTATGTGAATTTCAAGCCTCCTCACATTGTCTAGGCAGCGTGGACTCCAAGTTCAGATCAGAACAAACAAATGATTATAGCTATCAGTGGAAGTGTACACATTAACCTAGCAATGAATTTATCAATAATTACCTTTTTTTTTTTTTTTTTTGTCCATACTGGGGCTTAAGTGTGAACAAAACTCAGGAAGGGGAATCCGGCCAGAAGAGGATGGCACTTACATTAGGTCAGAAAGGAGCAGCAAGTGCTCATGCTAGCAGGGAACCAGAAGTGTGGGGAAGAAAGTTCTGAAAGGTAGACCTTTGGGGACAACCTTGTGTTCAGATTCCATCAGACCAGAAATAGCCCTAATATTTAGAATTTGCTTAAGAAATTCCAAACTCCATCTGACTGATTGTCCTTTTGGAAAGAAAAGCCTCTTTCGTTACACCTTTCAGGACTCTGAGTGAAAATCTAAGTGTGACTACCACATGTCAGGCACTCACAGTATAGTACACTGCTTGATACAACCAGAAGCCAGTCTCCACCTTTGTTCCCTCCACGGACACACCTGGTCTGTGGGCTTTAGAGGTGATGAAAAAACTGAGGTGGGGATTCAATCAGCTGGTGGGCCAGAGCAAATACCTGCGTCCTATGTAGGATGAATTATTCCTTATGCCACCTGGTGGTTACCTAGCCAGTAGCTGCTGACTGATCTTAATTTGAGCCTAGAAATAAGTATCTTTTTATTTTAATGTCACAGAAGTTCAAGCTATAACAGATCCAAAAGAGAATGCAGCCCATTATTTTGTTCAAAGGTCAATACTGCATCATGCATAACACTTTGGATTTTGTTTTTGTTTTTTGGAGTCAGGGTTTCAGGTTGGGTAGCCCAGGCTGGCCTCCAACACACAGTCCTCCTGTCTCTGCCTCCCAAGTGCTAGGATTGCAGGCATGACCACCATGCACAACCTGTATAACACTCCTTAAGCTAGAAAATTTCTTCAGTCTGTATAACACTTCTTAAGCTAGAAAATTCATTCAGTCAGATCTACCAACACAAATTCAGCCTCTCAGATAGTTCATGTACTTCACTTTCTTTTTTTTTCTCTTTTTAAAATTTTTATGGTTTTATTATTCATATGTGCATACAAGGCTTGGGTCATTTCTCCCCCCTGCCACCACCCCCTCCCTTACCACCCACTCCGCCCCCTCCCTCTTTCCCCCACCCCCCTCGATACCTGGCAGAAACTATTTTGCCCTTATCTCTAATTTTGTTGAAGAGAGAGTATAAGCAATAGTAGGAAGGAACAAGGGTTTTTGCTAGTTGAGATAAGGATAGCTATACAGGGAGTTGACTCACATTAATTTCCTGTGCATGTGTTACCTTCTAGGTTAATTCTTTTTGAGCTAACCTTTTCTCTAGTTCCTGGTCCCCTCCTCCTATTGGCCTCAGTTGCTTTTAAGGTATCTGCTTTAGTTTCTCTGCGTTAAGGGCAACAAATGCTAGCTAATTTTTTAGGTGTCTTACCTATCCTCACACCTCCTTTGTGTGCTCTCGCTTTTATCATGTGCTCAAAGTTCTCATGTACTTCACTTTCAACCCATGGAGTTCTAAAGTTGCTCTTGTGAATTTAAAAATCTCTTATGAAGTTTATCTATCTCTACAAAAAGGCACTGGAAGTTTTTCTACAACTATCTACATACGTACTACTTAAAATATCTTTAAAGTTAAATGTCCTCCAGATATTCCTAGTTTAAGTTTGGAAGCAAATATAAACTTCATATTTTCCTGACTAATTTAGGGTATAAATGTCTTAGTTGTTATCATACCTTGTGTTTATATCATATGTCATATGCCTGATATCATTCAGGATCCCCATTAGAGGTTTTCACTATGAAAACATCAAAAGAGATACAGTGAATATAATATTAATATATTAATTACATTACCATATAATGTGTAATATTAATATAATTAATGCATAAGTATATATTCCTGTGGTATATTAGTACATTAATATTCATTAAGTAATATATTAATATGTAATGTATGTTATATATTTGTATAACATTTATCTATTTAAATGTAATGTTATGTTAAATGTTGATTATATGTAATATACAACATGTTATAAGCTTATTTAGTATTTGTATAATCCTTAGTCTATATCTTACATAGGGATTAGAATAAATACTATTACATTTCTTTTGTTGTTTCCATAGTGAGTGATCACACACCTGAAGGGGATCCAGAGTGATTTGAGGCAAAACCAGATTGTTGTTGTTGTTGTCTTTTCATATAGGGCCTCACTCTGTAGCACAGGCTGGCCTTGAACATCATTTTTTTGTTTTTGGGAGGTTTTTTTGGTGGAACTGGGCTTTGAACTCAGGGCTTTGTGTTGCAAAGCAGCTGCTCTACCACTTGAGCTATATCCCCAGTCTGTTTTGCTCTGGTTATTTTGGAGATGGGAGTCTCATGAACTGTTTGCCCAGGCTGGCCTCAAACTGTGATCCTCCTGATCTCAGCCTCCCAAGTAGCTAAGATTACAGGCATGAGCCTCTGGCACCTGGCTGGTCTTGAACTCTCGATCTTCCTCCTCTGCCTCCTGAGTGCTGGGATTACAAACACGTAAAACCATGCTCAACTGCAAAAACAGATTTAAATTTAGTTAGCACAGACTAGTTTAAACACCTGTTCTCAAAGCCCAACTCTGACTCTTATAAGCCCTCTAACCTGTGGTAAATTACTTACACCGTATCTGTGATTTTGGGATAGTTATAATACTTAGTCATAGCATTATTATAAGGACTAAATGAAGTAATTCATTTAAAGGGCCTATTATGTGTGGCGCATTTGTAGGCACTGGAAGTATAGTAAATGAATGTGTATATTCATGTATTTGATGAACTTGAACTGTTTTATCTAAAAGCACATGCTCACAGACTTAGGGGTTGTATGTAATATTTAAAGAAGTTTTAACCTTCAGAAACAGGAATGCATTATTTATCAAGCCTCCAAGATCATGCAGTTGAAATGCACTTGAACATACAATAGTATCCAATTGCAAGAAGCACTGTCTGTCCAATAGAGGAACAGAAGCAATATGCCTGGTGATTGATTCAAAACATGCTAAGCAATTTATGCATCATATTAATTAATTTTCTATACACTAAAAGTGTTTGCCAAATGTACTAACATTTCTTCCGCAACAACATTCATGAAAACCTAGAACGGCAATGAAAGCAAGAATGGAAAATGAGAAGGTATAACCAATGTGATGGTTATTAACAGTGGTAATAATTTTTTAATGATGATTAAAAACCCCATTTTACTGGTTGGATACTGTTGCACCTCCCCAAGAGCTACATTCCAGGAAATACAGGCTTTTATCAGCTTAAAAACCTGCAATGATTTTCTTTTTTTGGGGGGGGGCGTGAGGAGCAAGCCTAGGTCCTCGCTCATACTGAGGACATGGTCTATCGCTGGCTGCTTTTTTAAGCCAGGAGACTTCCTACTAGGATATCTGACGCATGGAGGCTGGGAAGAGAAGCTGGGATAGTAGGGCCTGTCTCCCTGAAGCGTCATATGGAAACCAGTAAGGATTTAATGTGGAACAGGATGCAAAAAAATCCATCTGATTTCAGAAAATAAAACATGATTCATAAAAGCGTTGTTTCTTGCACTGGCCCCGTCAGAGCATTTTGGGATATGGGGCTCTGCACTCGGAGAGAAAGGTTTGCAAGCACTGTGCATTAGGAATGGATTTTCTGTGTCTTCACATTGTTGTCCGGGACAAGGACTTTGAATCATTTTCATATAACGGTTTTAATTGCATACTTTCTAACTTTCTGTTGCTTTCTATTACCTACTGAAACTAGAAAAACCCTGTCGTTCTTTACTTCATTCATGTGTTTTTCACAGTACTTATCACTGTGGGGCACTATCTTAATCACTTGGTTTCCTTGTTTATTGTGTCCCTTCCATGCTCAGCCTGAAACAGTAGGGTTACTTGGAGCCCCAGCATCCAGCCAAACACTGAGCTACTATATGGAACAGTCAAAATACACTCGTTGAATTGCTTTATAAGATTCAGGATTGCCACCTTTTATCACATATGTATTTCTCAAGAGATATATAAACCAAGGAAACGGGAAAGTGTATTTGACCTCTTCAAAAGCGCAGAAAGGACCTATTTGATGACGTGAATGCCCATCTATGCTTTCAGCATCTCTGAAGCTGAAATGCTCAAGGAGAGAGGGAAGGAGAGGAGAGAGAGAGGAGGGGGAGGGAAGGGAAGAGGAGGGGAGGAGTGTCTCCGTAGGACAATTCTTAGCTGCTTAAGGAGGACTTAGCTAACCCGGCTAAGAATTTGCCCAACACCTGGATCACATCAGCAGACCGGGAAAGCCATCGCGGGGCCCCTGGCCGCAGGAGCACACTCGATGGGGCGCGCTCTGTCCCAGCGGCTCGGCTCCAGATTTCCAGGGACCATGGGTTTCAGCTCTTACCCTGCGGGAGCTCGCCCCAGGCTGGGCGAGCTGGGCTTGGGTGGCATCTTTTGGACCTCGGGGGAGCCAGCCCACGCGAACCCCCCGCCCAGGTCGGGGTACGGCGCGCGTCCCAGCTCACCACCGCTGCGGAGCCTGTTGCTGTCGCCAGCCTTGTTGAGGGCGCTGCTGGAGCAGCCCATCGCAGGGAGCGTGGCGTGGGTCTCGGAGCCTGGATCCCGTGAGCGCCGCTCCCCGAGCCGCCGAAGTTTCACCAACTGCAGCCCGGCTCCCGCTGGCTCAGAGCGCAGGCGCGCGGCGGGCGCTGGGTGGCAGGTGCGCACCTGGAGCACCTGGAGCACCGCGAGCACGCGCAGGTGGAAGGAGCCGTGAGGGCAGAGCCAGAGAGCTGCAGGGAAAGGAAGCAGAAGAGAGCAGGACACTAGATCAGAGCGGCCAGGTGGGGACAAAGCGGAGGGTGAACAGCTGGAAGGAGGGTTCGGCTGAATCATTCATCACTAAATAGTCAGGGAAAGGAGGCGGCGGCTGTGGCCACTGCCTATTGGTTGGTAGACTAGATGTGCGATGACTGTCATCCTCTTACATAACTCCAGTACAGTGCCACAAGGAAGTTTAACGTTAATGTCAAACTTTTGACTTACCCTCTATATTAAACTTCTGTCAGTTGGCCCATCCAGACCTACACATATTGTTTTGTTGTCCTGCCTCTCTTTAGTTTGCTTTAATCTGGAGCAGTTCCCCAGTCTTGCTTTGTCTTTTATGGTCTTGACAGTTGTAAATAGAACAGGCCATTTGTTTTAAAGAATATTTCTCAATTTGGGTTTGTCTGATTTGTTCATGATTGATTTTAGGTGATGCGGTTTTGGCTGTAATATCTGTGTATTCCTGTGGAGGCACAAGGGAATGGTGGTCCTATTATTGGGGATGTTTGCTTTGATCAGTTAGTTAAGGAAGTGTCTAGCAGGTTTCTTCACTGTAAAATGACTGCTTCATTCTTCATAGTTTATTAGGATTAGTGAAAAATATCCTGTTTCTCATCAAAGTATTAGTGCTCCTTTTGTAGCACTGGTTTCTTGCTTGCTAGATCATTACTATTATGATGGTTATCAAATGGTGATTTTCTAATCATTCCTTCTACATTTATTAGCTGGCATTCCTACTGGAAGAAAGCACTTCCCTTTTCTTCCACTTTTTCATTTAAATCAATTATCACTCGTGAATTCTTACATTATTTAGTGTAAGAATGGGTTATATTGCCATCTGAATTAGTTTGCTAGGGCTGCTGTACCAAAACACCATAAACTGAGTGCCTTAAACAACAGAAATTTATTTCCTCGAAGTTCCAGAGGTCAAGTCCAAAATCAAAGTGTCAGCAGATTGGTTTCTCCTGAGGCCTCTCTCCTTGGCTAGCAGATGGCTACCCTCCCCATGTATCTTCACTTGGTCTTCTCTCTGTGTATGTCTGTATTCTGATAACCCCCTTTTATAGGGCACAGACTTATTTAGGGACTCACCAATCAGTGTACAGTAGCCTCCTGCTGTGGGGGATGTATTTTTTAAAGTCACACTTAATTTAGTTAGTGAAAATTTTAAAAACTTTTTCCCCAAAAGAGGTGTGATAATTCACATATTAGTTCAAAGTAAATATGTAACTTGAAATTTCCTAAATCCTAACACTTTCATACTAACAAGGGCCAGTTAAGTTCCTCCTCTTCCCCATACATTAGGAGTTGTCTAATGTATTTCACTTCTCCTCAGTGATAATGTGTGAGCTAAGCCATGGTATTTCTGTTTTCTTCAGAGGAAGCATTTTATAATCAAGTGAACAATAACAATCAGATACTTTGGAGATATCAGTAAGTCTTTCCCATGGGCCACCCCAATGCTTCATAAATGGGTTTAGAAATAAAACAACTCTAGGGACAGGGACAGGATCCAGGAAGGGACTCAACACCATGTTCCTCCCCTTACCAAGGTTCACCTGGCAGGCTGAGTGCCCAATTTACCAGCAGCATGAGGATGTGATCTAGCAGCCACCTCATGGAAGATAAAATGGACCTTTCAGGGGGCAAACAGATATCTTTACAGTAATGGATACTGGATTAGATTTGCTTTTCCTACCCAACATGTCTCTGCCAGCATCATCAATCAGTGGGCCTCCATCAAGACATTACATATCCTTAGCCTGGTGTGGTGGCTTGCACCTGTAGTTCCAGCTACTTGAAGGGCTGAAACAGGAGGAGCAGAGTCCAGGAGTCAGAGACCAGCCTGGGTACACAGCGGACCTCTATCTGAGGAGGAGGAAGAAGAGACATCACCTCTTCACCACACACCACATTCCATATTGTATCTTATCAAAGAACTTACTTTATTGTAACAAGGAAACTGGTTAGTTTCTATGCAATTTACTGGTTGCCATTTACTCATTTATCCAGAAGCAGCCAAACCTATAGAATGGTTATACACAAAACACTCAATTATGGTAAGGTAAAATCAAGGTACTGTCATGTGGTTTGCAGTGTGTGCTCTGAATGTAACTAATAAATGGTGTAATCTCTCCCATGATGAGTTTACGCATATCTGGGTCTTGCTGTCCTGGCTTCTTGTCCATTTGTTGAACTGCAAAAATAAATTGCTTTCCTGCTTAACTGAGCTTGTTTCTGTTGCTTACAACACATCTCCAGACTAATACACAATGCTTGCCCTATTCCTGAATGCTCTCCTCCACAACCACCCGTCTTGCTTTATTCCTTTAGTCTGGTTAGATGACTAGCTTGATAATAACTGATGATACTGTGACTTTGAAGTTTTATATCTCAATGGTAGTAGTTAATCTTTTCACCTCCAAGGACTCCTCTTATCATTTTTCTTCCATATACCCATGTTTTGATTTTATCACAAAATTGCATTTACTGTCCATTTCTCCTTTGAGTAATCAGTGATATTTTTTGAGTGGCATGCATCTTCTTAATCTTGACATTAAGTAATAGTCAATGACAATGAAAATGATCATTTTAACTGCTTGGCAGTAAGGGCCAGTGCACTGAACCGATATCAATCAGATGAACTTGTTAGTATTGTATGTGCTTTAACAAGGAATGCAACCTGTCACTTTTAATTCTCATAGCAAGTAAAAATCAGAAAGCACAATAAATGCAGTTGCCCACAGAGGTTTTGAAAACTTGAAGCAAAGATTTTAGTGAAGGAAAATAAAGGGACAGCCTTGTGATAATTTTGTCCTGCCACATTTACCCATCGGTATTCTTTCAAATCATTCTGAGACACTACAGACTAGCGTCTAGAATAACATCTGCATGGCAAAAACCTTCCTGAAAGCATACACATTCCCAATGTTTTAGCACAAAGATTTTCAAACTTGCAAAAAATTGAATAGGACAATGAACACCTGTATACACTCCACCTAAATTCAGCAGTTTTTAACACTTGGCTGCATGTACTCTACCTACCTATTCATATACATTTTTATTTGTACCCATTTGAAAATAAATTTAAAACATTATGACACTTTTCCACTGAATACTTCTGCACAATCTCTTTAGAAAAAGGGCATTCTCTATGTAACTTCAAGTAACTTTTAAATAATAGAAGTAATTTTTTAATACAAGGGTCAGCAAGCTATGGCCCGTTGGCCAAGTCTGGCCAGCTGACTGATTCTGTAAATAAAGTTTTATTGGAACATGGCCATGTCATGGCAAGATCTCTTAGAGTAAGCAATCCTTTTTTTTAAAGTATTGTGAGAACAGGAAATTTGGTATTATATAACAAGAAGCACCTCAGGAAAGTCACAAGAGCTTTAATTTTTCTCTAAAATGGAGGTAATTGCTATTCTGATTATTTTGAAGGAAAGTGAATGCTAAAACACATAACAATCTAAGTATCCATCACAGGGATAAATGGTTAAAGAAATGGGACACACTATGGAATATTATTTTGCCATAAAAAATGAACTCCAGTCATTTGGGACAACATAGATTAACCTGAAGGACATTATGCTAAGTGAAATAGCCAGGTAAAGAAAGACAGATACTTCATGCTCATATAGAGATTATCTACAAATGTTGAACTCACAGAAGAGTAGAATGGTGGTTAACAAAGCCTAAGAGATGTTGATCAAAGGGTATATGGTTCAACAACAATGAGGAATATGATTTTGAAGTGGGGTTTCAACATGCTGCCCATGCTGGTCTTGAACTCAGCATTCTCCTGTCTCAGCCCTTTGAGAATCACAGGCACCTACCACTGTGCCCAGCAATAATGCATATTTCAAAATTGCTATGAGACTAAACTTTAAATGTTCTTACCACAAAAATGAAAAACATGTAAGATGATAAATACATTAAATAGCTTGATTTGATTATTCCACAATGTACACATATCGAAACATCACATTATACCCTATATTGATGACTATCAATTAAAATTAAAACAACTTACAATTAAAAAACATAAACATCTTTTCTTCCTCCCACACACTGGTACTGAGGTTTGAACTCAGGGCCTCACCCTTGCTAGGCAGGCACTCTACTGAAGCCACTCCACCAGCCCCATGAAACATTTTTAAAAGCTTAGAAAGTATAGAACTCAATACAAATGTATAAGGGATCATTATTATTTAATTTATATTTATCTAATTGTTTTCTTCCTCAGTACTAGGGTTTGAATTCTTGACTTCAAGCTTGCTAGGCAAGTTCTCTACCATTTGTTCAGTAATGGATAAGGAGTCCTAGGAGATTTCTGGAGACATGCCGGGATTACAGAAGTCCTTAATCCGAAAGGGCTCAGAGCAGGAATGTACAAGACAAGACACATATCGAGAGGGCCAGAAGGCTGATGACCAACTGGGAAATTTTTATTTTTCTCATCAAGCTTTATACAAAAAGGAAGAGACTTAAACATCAAAAACACTCTGACCTAGTTACAACCTGTTTTTGCCACCATGCCTTCTTATTGCCAGTGTCCTTGACTAAGTATAAACTTCTTTTCAGTCAAGGGAAACCATTTAGCGTTCCTTCCCACCATGATAGAGACATGGTGCACCTGCAGATTCTGACCTTGTCAGAATGTTGCTAAGTCACAGTGACCTTGTCAGACTGTGGCTTTTGGATCCCAACAGACATGTCTAGACTAAGAAGTAAAATTTTGAACAGAATCATTACTTAAAATTCTACTCTAAACTTACATAATTAGAACATTTAAATTATGGGTATGTGTGGAGGGGAGGGTTGCTGGGCATCAAACCCAGGGCCTTCCATAGGCAAGCCACTCTACCACTGAGCTATACCTCCAGGCTCTATAATGTTCCACTTTTTTAGTATTCTTATAATGCCTTCTTAGGAATGCTATTATTGCAGCCAAACTGTACTCTGATTGTGATCTTTTAGCTTTGCTTCTGCTCTTCTTTGACTAAAATGCATCTTCCCTTGATTTCAAAAATCTTGCGGAGAACCTGACTTCAAATCTCAGTCCTGACTTAACCTTTGATAAGTTAATTTCTTTTCTCTCGTTTTATCCTCTGTAAAATAAGGTTAATAATGCCCATGACATTACTGTAACCATAAATTAAGATTTGTGAACAGGAAGGTCTCACAAAAGTAAATTATTCTTACTATTTCTCTCCTTTAAGGCCTAAATTGATAGTAGATTTTTAAAGAACAGGCATCATGCCTTATATCTGTGTATTGTCAGTTCCTGGAGTGAAGCTGAATTATTCAAATATACTTGTTAAATTGAATAAACATGTTATGCTCTTTGTTTGTCTTTCTACAGACAAGACTGCAAGGTTTCAGAAAGCATGTGAAATAACCAGCACCTAACACAGGACCTGCCATGTGGCAGTTTGTGGAATGAACAAATAGTATCTGAAACAATGATTTCTTACTTACACATGGCAATTAGATTTATACTGAGTGTGTTTTCATAGGTCTTGTTTTCTCTGTATGACTATTAGTTCCTGAGAGTGTAGTTCATGCAAATTGTTTGATGATAATGGAAAAAGAGTCATGGCTGAATGTCTAATAGGAACAGCAGACTCTTAACATTCCCAAACTGTACCCGAAGTGGATTGTAACAAAGTGTTTTTAAGTAGATAATTCAATTTTTTATAATAGTTTGAAAACCATGAATGAAGCAGATCGGAAAAGAAAAAAAGACACGATTAAAAGAGGGGGCTGGTGTTTTAACCTTTACCAGGTAGTAGTGTCACAACTACTTTAGGATTTTTTCTTTGAATTTAAATCACAGGACTATTTGTTAGCTGTAAAATTAGTAGAAGAGCTCACTGTTGATACAACTAGACAAATAAAGAGGAAATATCTGGATTTGGCCAATCTTAAGTAATTTATACATAAATGTTGAAGTAGTTTGATAATCTAACTCAACTGTTGGTTAAATTCACATCAGACCTAAATTACAGACCTGGATTCTGGTCCCACCTGACAGTACACTAGATAAGCAAACTTGGGAATAAAAAGGTTACTATCTCATAGTTTGTGACTGTTAAGTAAAATATGGGTAAATAATGTAGTAAAGTTTCTGGCACAGCATGCATGTTTTTTATTTTTTGTAGGTCAGGGTGGTGGTGCGAGGCTTCCTCCTCTCCCGTTCTTTTCTAGGGCAAAATAATAAGCAAATGGCTTACTAACTAGTCTGATTTTACTTTTTTTGTTTGTTTGTTTGTTTTTTTGGTGCTAGCGAGTGGGGTAGGAACTTTTAGTGCCTAATCTCTTCAGTAATCCACCACTGGACATTCATCCCAAGGTCCAAATTTTAAAGCGGGAAGATTTTTTTAAATGAGATCTACTCATCGCCTTTTAGTGCAAATTCGGCTCACAAGTTGAACAGCAAGCCTAGGTGAATTTGCAAGTGACGCCACCGTTCTCCAAGGGACGGGCAATCTGGGCGACCGCAGGGGAGTGGATAAGCTGAGGGTGGTGCAGTAAATGCAGTGCACAGGGAGGACCGGAGCCGCCTCCCCAACAGCCGCGCCTTCGGGCACAGATGAGCTCAACGACGCTGGGACTCAGCAGTCGGTCGTCGCTGCCCCTTCTCCCACCTCACTCTCAATCGGCTTCACCAACTCCCGCCCAGCTCGCCGCTTCTCGTTTTCTAAACCCTCAGCAGGCAGCATCAGAACGACATAACACAGAGAACCTCGAGCCCACAACAAACACACGCAAACCACCAGCTACTAAACTTACTGGCGGTACCCATGGTGACCGACAGCGGCCTTCCGCTTTTAGTCCCACCCCTTCCGCTGCAACGAGCTTCCGCTTCCGGTTCCGGTGTCCCGTCTCCGCCGTGAAGAGCTTTGCATTGTGGGAATTCTTTCCTTTCTCGCTCCCCGGCCATCTTGCCTGCTGCTGTGGGTGAGTGAGCTCCACCAGGCAGATGTTTAGGCAGTGTGGGAAAGCTTGCGGGTTGCCTTTTGGAACTCCGGACTGTTCTGTTCTCTCTTTTAGGTTGGGGGCCGTCCCGCACCTAAGGCAGGAAGATGGTGGCCGCAAAGAAGACGGTGAGTGAAGCAGGCCGGGGCCGGAATCCGATTCACGTGGAGAGATGAGTCTCCGCCCGGGCGCGCAGATCAGAGCGCGTGGGGGAGACCGCATGCCCGCTAGCGATTGCGGGATCCCCAGGGGAACCCGCCATGTTCTCGGTGACTTCGGAGGTTTTATTGTGGGGCTCGGTTCCAGAAAGCCGGGTCTTTTTCTGCGATGGTTGCCAATAAGGTCTTCAAGTCTGTTCAATGTTTGCTTTATAGAAAAAGTCCCTGGAGTCGATCAACTCTAGGCTCCAGCTTGTTATGAAAAGTGGGAAGTATGTGCTGGGGTACAAGCAGACTCTGAAGATGATCAGACAGGGCAAAGCGAAGTTGGTCATCCTCGCCAACAACTGCCCGGCCTTGAGGTAATGGGAGGGACCCGTCCGCGCGTGTACATTCTAAGTGACCCGATGACTAGGAGGGCAACCTGGCAATCTGGGCAGCAGGAACTCCCATTTTACGCAGAACTCGTTTTCAGAGAACACTTGAGAAATAGTTGTTTGGCCTTCGATTTGGTTCCCCACCTCGTCATGTGCTCTTCTGTACGCTTATCTTTAGGGAGTAATGTGTGACGGGGAACAAACACAGGACGTCTAAGTTCGAGGGAAGTGTAGACACAGCGTGCTTTTCCATGTGTTTTTGTGCCCTATTATTTTTGATTTTTACTTTTAGCTTTGAGATGCTTTAGAGGTACTTCATTTTATGTACTTGTATCGGTGTAGAAAAGCCATGGAAGAAACATTCATGCCGGGTACCATGGAATCACCTAGTTCCGCCCATGGTATCAGTTTTCTGAGCCTATGTTTGTTTTTAATTTACTATTTTAAAATTGAACTTAGTATTGTAAATAAACTAAAGAAATTTGCAGAATATAAGCCTCTTGATTTTCGGGGGTAACGCATAACCTGTTGTATTTTTTGGCAGAATCTGGAATGTTTGGTATTTTTTCCAAACCATTCTTCAAGCTTTTTTGGGGGGGAGGGGTTAGGGGTCGTTCTCAAATGTGACTATGTAAGGGAGTTAATGTTAAAATGCAAGTTTGTTGTAGTGGAACTGGGATGGGGCCTGAGATGCACTTCTGACAGGAAGTACCCATTGTGGCACTGCTGCTGGTCTGTGGACCCACATGTTAAATGGCCAAGTTCTGGAGAACTCCTTTCATATTCTTAAAACTAGTTGATACCGAAGTGTTTTATGCATTAGGTAAATTACCATTCCCATAGGTTTCAGGGCATCAGTTGGTGATGAAAATGACTTACCTTTTAAAGATAACTTGGGTTTGAGTTTTAGATCCTCCACTTACTATGTATGTGCCTCAGTTTGTTCATTAGAGAAAGATGGAGTACATAATACCTACATTACAGGTTGTTGTGGGAGATGGAACGTGTCTGATATTAATGCTAAGTTAATACTGATTTGCTTTCGTTTAATTTGCATCCTACCCTCTTCCATGAGCATAGGTACTATCTTAAACAGTAGATATTCAGTAGATACTTGCTGATAACCACATTACTTGCAAGAGATCCAAGTAAAGATGGGCTCTTTTTTTTATCAGTGGGTATGATAATATTGGATAATATTGTCTCTACTAGTAAGTGGTTTATTAATAGAAAGCCTCACCAACATTATAGCTATGAGAAGTAGTTAACAGTCTTGTCAGTCACTTTTTAAAATTTATCTTTTTTTTTTTTTGGTTTCTAAAGGAAATCTGAAATAGAATACTATGCTATGTTGGCCAAAACTGGAGTCCATCACTACAGTGGCAATAATATTGAATTGGGCACAGCATGTGGAAAATACTACAGAGTATGCACACTGGCTATCATTGATCCAGGTATGCAAGTGTTCCTTGTTAACGCAAATGGTCTTTGGCTCAAATTCAAATCATGAGGATTTTTATAAAACAGGGATATCCTATAGTTGCGTTTTGTAGAAAATTGATAAACAATGCTAGTACGTTATAATTGGTTTTGTTTCAAGTCTTTTTACTTTAAGATTATGACTGTCATTGATGAAGTACCCAAGATATGATGACTTTGGTAAAATATGAAGCTATGGGGGGAAATAATCCAGTGAAATAGTAGACGTAATCCTTACTTGCTGCCTAAGAACAGATAGGTAAAATTAGGTTATGTGGGAGTGCCTACAGAAACACATTATTTTATGTTTTAAACTTAGAATTTTTAGTTAACTCATAAAATACTGCGAATATTCTCGCTGTTCTGATTTTGTAATAATCAGGACAGGCTAAACATTCGCTATATTATGACCACGCATGTGTCCCCAGACCTAGTACTTTGACTAGGCCTGGTTTTATAAATGCTGGTGACAAACCAGATCTGATTTATTATATGATCATTTTGTGTGGTCATGTAATGGTTCAGATTCTAGGTTGTCTTTGGTCAACCTTAAAAGACAGTAATTAGCTGATGTAATAGCTTGCAGATAGCCAGTGCCAATGTGCAGACTTGTCTAAAGAATGTGTAACCTGCATAGAGAAACTTTGTGGCTATCAGTTGCCATTAAATGAATTGTAAAACCACTGTTTTTATTTTCTAGGTGATTCCGATATAATTAGAAGCATGCCAGAACAGACTGGAGAGAAGTAATGATGCAAATTTTTTCTTTAATAAAACTTGCCAGAGCTGGTTTTAAAAATACTGGATCCATTTTGGTTATTTTGTGTCTTTGTTTTGTCGTCCTCAGGATAGAACAGCTAGATACGGTGGCACAACTTTGGGTGAAGAATTGTACATCTCAGTTACCATTTTCTTGCTTTCCTAAAAAGAGTACTCTACATATCTGTTATCCAAAGTATGTGGGGCCAGAGGAGTTTTCAGAGTGGATTTTTTCCAGTATTGGAATATTTGCATATAGGATAGGACCTCAGTCTAAACACAATTCATCTGTGTTTTTATACATTTTGTGCACATAACCTGAAGGTAACTTTACAGAGTATTTTAAATCTGCATGGTGGGGTTTTTTGTTTCTGCTTTTTGGTACTTTTGACTCAGGATTTAAAATCTGGAATGGCGAAGGTGACATCAGTTGGCTGGGGTTAGCATCCCCAGATAGCTACAATGTGACTGAGGACTTTTGTCAATCCAAATATGAGGATAGACTGTTACAGAAAGTCCCTCATCCTTCCAAAAGCTGCTCAGCTCTGAAAGCGGGATGGCTTGACGTCATCCAGTCCACTTGGTAGGTGACAGCATTGCTTTTGTGTAAATTCCATAATGCAAAAGTTTTTAATCTTCTTGATATTTTTTGTTTTGCTTTATTTTGAATGGTCAGCCATCACAGACCCTCCCTTTGTGTCTTCCAACTTGAGATGTATGAAGGCTTTTTTTCTCCCTGGAGTGGGTTGAAGTGTGAATGCAGCCAGGCCTTCTTGTATACTGACTTGTTCAATAAAAGTACACACCTTAAAAAATTAAAAAAAAAATTGTACATGGAGTGATTAGAGGTATGGAACTTGCCACTTGTGGCTTACCAGTGTTCAAAAAGTTTAATATTGGAGTATTTTCCATTTTAGATTTTGGGTTAGGGATGTTTGGATTTTTAAGACTTATTTTTGGTCGGGGGGTGGTACTGGAGTTCAAACTCAAGACCTCAAGCTTGTTAGACAGGTGCTCTACACTTGAGCCATGTCCCTAGTCCAAGATACTTTTCATAATTCTTGTCTCAGGATACTATTTGCATTTTGTATTTGAGTATGTTTGAGAGGCACTGAGGTTAAATGGCCAGATTTGCAGTTTGCTGAAGCTGAGTAGCAAAAGGGTGAAGTGAAGTGTTTCCATCCTAAATACTATCATAGGCTAAGAAAAGATCTATTAAACTTAGTAGAAAAGACTCTTTCCTGAGGAGGTGCAGTGTTTGGAGTAAATGACTGACCAAGGATATGCTCAGATCTTCAGTAAATGTTAAGTGTCAGATTGCCTAGGTATGTTTTATGTCATTTAGTTCTCAAAGATGTGAGATGTTGAGATTTTGGGCAACTGCGTATCACATCTCCCAAAAGTAAGTCCCGTGGGACTCTTTTTTCCTAAGTAGATTAATAACTTTTTGGAACATTGAGAAGAATTAATTTTGGGGAAAATACTTAGTTACTGGTTTATCGAGTTGAATGGTGCTGGTATGGTACATATGCTGTGTGAGTGGAGCTTTTTGAGGGAGGTTACCAAAGGCAGAAGATCAATCTCCCACTTCTCCCTGTCCTTTCAACTACTCGGACAATCTTGTAGATGAATGAGATGCAGGAAATGATAGTTTTCTATACATTATACAGAAAGTTTAAGCACTTAATGAAGTTGGAGTGAGGAGTATCTCCTAATAGCTACCTAACATCTATGCGGGGATTCCCATATTGATAGGTGAGACGGTTTCTTTCAAGGTAACATCTCATGGTTTTAGTGTTACTAAAGGTTGTGGATATACTTTGGAATCTGGCTTTAGCAATTTTGGTTCAGTTAAATTCTATTTAATTTGGGAGCACTATTAACATTTTGTGGTGGGATAATTCTTCAGGAGGGCTGTGGATGCTGTAGCATGTTTCTATTTCTGGTTTTCCTTCTATGTCATTGAAACAATGTCCAGGTGTCACTCCCACATTTTGAAAATAGCATGTCTCCTGGTCAAGAGTTACATGAAAATGTTCAATGTTCTAAGGTGTTCATGATTATATGTTCAGACTGGTGTGCTCAAAATTTTAAAATATTTGAAATCTATCTTTGATAAGAATTGCTTGGTCTGACTTGCTTTGTATAGTTGTCTGTTCCTATAATTGAAAATGTTTCAGTCTCTTGGTAAGGAAGTTTATGTTCTTACCTCCGTAGCCAGTTTTCCCACAGTGCACTTTTCTCATGGTTTGAGTTAATTTTGGAATACTTTCCCTCCAGGTTAACTAGTTCCAGTTTAATTTCTTAAGTACAGTGACCTGAAGAATACAAAATTACAGAATACTAGCGTACCATTTCTTTGCAGTGTTTTTATGGCACGATTTATTGCAGGCATTTTGAGTCACAGCTCTTTTTTAAATTATGCTTTCTAGGGCCTTTTAGGTTGTGACAATATGCTATACTATTATTTAGCTTTTACTTTTATATGTACTTTTTGTCCTGTCACTGTTATTTCTGCTAATGAAGAATTCAAAATTCAGAGAAAAGGAGTTTAAAGCCAGTAGATAGAAAATACACCTCTATCTGGCCTGGGATAGCTGTAATAAAGTATGACTAAGGTTGCTGTTAGAAAAATGCCACTGGCCAGGAGGATCTGGGAAAGTATAAAGGGGCACTTTAAAATGTTCTTTTCTGATTATAGTGAAAGTAATGTGCTGATGTGTAGGGAATTGTAGGAAATTTACAGCCAATTAAATTTGCCCCATACCTCTACTGATCCTCTGGTAGGTGTGGAGTCCCAAAACAGATGTTGGATATCGTGGAGTTTGTCGGTTGCATTTGGTATGGGATTGTGCTAGGAGCAAAGGGCATATAAAGAAGAAAGCAAATTTAGGCTGGTGGTGAATGGAGTCAGCTGTGTGGTCCAGAAGATGGTCTTCTGTTCCACTGAACAGTTTTCCTTTTGATCCGCCCTCACAACCAGTAGCTGCCCTTCCACTTGATGCGTGGGGGCAGGAAACCTATGCTGGTTCTGAGGATAAGCCCAGCATTCTCTTCCAAACTAGGTTAGGTGCCTCACTAAGCTAAGATCCTAGCAGATGGGGACTTGGCATTTTCAACTTTGTGTCACTTATCAAAAATTAGAGTAAGGTCTTCTAAAGCTTAACTCCTTTTTAAACTTGTGGCTATCTAGCCCATAGCTTTTTATTGGCAATAGTGGGGTATGAACTCAGGGTCTTGTACTTCATAGGCAGGTGCTCACCACTTGAAATGTGCCTCCAGCCCATATTTTTCAAATATGGTGTTACTTTTTACCTGGTCCACCTTGGGCTGTGATCTTCCTACCTATGCCTCCTTCCTAGCTAGAATTACAGGTGTGAATTATCACTCCTGGCTTGTTAGTTGAGATGGGGTCTTGCTTTTGCCCAGGCTGGTCTAAAACTGCATTCCTCCTGATCTCTGCCTCCTGAGTAGCTTGGATTGCAAGCATGAGCCACCACACCCAGACCTTGTTGAGAATTTTTTAATCTTCACCTTAATAGTTTTTCAACATCTTGTGTATTTACAATTATTTGCTACCTCCTGTCTGTTTCAAAAAGTTAATTTAGGAAAAGGAATCTGCTAAAGTACAGCAGCGAAAGCAAAGAATTCATTGTCTTTCACTCAGCATACATTTAAGTATGAACACCATCTCTACATGAGATACTTTGGCTAGTGAAGATGGAATAGCTAATATTGAGCATTTAAAATGTTTAGCTCCTTTTACTAAGTGTTGACAACCCAACAGGACAGGACTATTAGCTCCCTTTTACAGATGACATCAAGGCATTGGAAAGGTCATATTGATGCAGGTGGAATGCAAAATCCTTACACTGATGAATGCAGGTGAGAAAAACAAGGAGAATGGGAAAAAATCATATTCTAGACAGTCTTCAAGTTAAATATCTTGTTTTGGTAGGGAGCCTTTCATTCCTATGAAGTGTTCTCCAAGCAGGAGAAATGTACTTAGAACTTAAAAAAAGGCAAGTGAGGGAAGGTCTTGAGCCACTAGAGGGAGACAGAGCACAACAAAGTGAAGTAGACCTGAGCCATCTGGAAGCAATGCCTGATTGGGTTGTTACACCTCCAGTTTGTATCAACCCAAATCAACACTACTTTCTAATGAGAACCTGTGTTTTCATGGTCAAGTGCAGTACTCAAATATGAATACAAACTCAAGGGCTTATACTTGGAAAGTGATTTTCAGGTAAGGTTGAGGAGTAGGAAATGTTCCTCCTCTATCACTACCCTTGGGAGGACGTTGATGAAATCACTTTTCTTGAAATATTTCAACATAGGCTTATTCAAGGTGTTTTGCATGCAAAACATTTTGACTCTCAAATACAGTGGCTTCCATGGAAAACATCATTTTGTCTATCTGGTTTTTGCAGCTGCCACTTACAGTGTTGCTATAAGTGCCTTCTTGAACTAATATAAAGTCCCTTTTGACTATATTCCCACTTTATTTTCTGCATTTGGTGTATATCTTTGTAGAACATTGCTTACATTTAGTATACATGTTAATGTATCTTTGGACAGCTAGTGATGTTTGTGTGAGTGTTTTAATTTACAGAAATGGTGTGCTAATTGTCATTGGCATAAATTAGATCTTTGTTTTTGAGTTTTACTATTCATTTGTGTGGGTCTGGGGAATTCCTGTAAATGTATTTCTGTGGCATGGACCATACACCACAGTATGTCAATTGCCCAACGTGCTGCTTTTACAAACTTTAGACACATTCTTCTGCAGGCCTTGTATGCATGTGCTAAATCATCTAGTTAGATACCTTAAGTGCATTTGCTATAGTTACAGGGTTATGTGCATTTTCATTTTATTAGTGTAGGCAGATTTATTCTCCTAAAAGACTGCAATTTTCACTCTCCTAGCAGTGTACAAGAACCTGTATTTCCACATCCTCCCTATCAAACGTTCACTTTTGCCAAGCTGCTGGGCTATAAAAAAATGGTGTTTTAGCCTGCCTTTTCCTGATTACCAGCAAGATTAAACATTTTTCTCATGTATATTGGCCATTTTCGTGTGTATATATCTTGCATATAAAGTTAAACTAACTGGGTGCAGCGGCTCCCTTCTTGGCAAAGATTGGGAGGATCACAGTTCAACACCAGCTCAGGCAAAAAGTTAGTGAAACCATTTGACCTTGAGTTCCAACCCCAAAACTGCCAATGATAATAATAAAGTTAAACTAAGACCAGGCATGGCGACACACCTGCTATCCCAGCACTTGGGAGGCTGAGGCAGGAGGATCAAGAGTTCGATAATGAGACTCATCTCAAATAATAAACTAAGATTTTATACGGTGAATTTTAATACTGTATAAAATTAAATGTTATACAGGTACATATGTCTTAAGATTTTATGCATACGTCCATATACATATATCAAGGTAAAGTTCAATACAAAAAAAATAGCATTCTCTATAGCCAGTGTTCTACAGAAGTAAGACTGCAAATCATTTCATAGTCAAATGAGATTGCAACACTAAGGCAGGACAAAGCAGAAGCAAATCATCCACAGTACATTACAAAGTGCTGTGCGTAGCTTATTTATTCTCGATTTAACAATAGCCTGAGCTTTGTAGCTGTGCCCTGCCTTTGTTGTAATCCTTGATACAATGATGTACAAATACGTAGAATTTTTCTAGTCTTCATCTGTACCTTAGACGATTTTCCAAGGCTTCCATTCTCTGTGTCATTTCTTCTAGTAGATCACAGATTAAGGAAGGAGTCTGAATTGCTTGCTTTTAAATTTGCATTCAAATACAACTTGATATAACTACTAAAAGTTTGTTCTGAAATATAAAAGGGTTTGGGTTTTTTTTTTTTTTTAATTTCTTTCAAGTATTTTTAAACTGGCTTAGAAGTTTATAGTAACTCATTTAACATTCTGTCAAGACAAATTCTGTTCAGGTTAAGTTCACTTTTAAAAGCATCAAAGGCAGATAAGCTCAGTTTGAATTTGTCTTTTTTCCTTCAAATTTTTGACTTCTTAACACTTCTGTTGCTTCTAAAATTAGTTTGCCATAGCACATCTCTGGGAGCTGGAATTTATAATGTTGGGGATGTGGTAGAGAAAAGAAAATGAAGGATTAGGCCTTAATAAAAATATGAAGACAAGAGAAGAGAGGGAGTTTTCACCCATGACGCCCTGTAAAGCTGAAGGGCAGTGGCCTTAAGGAATTCTGACCTGTGCTTTTATACACAATTGCTTTAGTCTCATGAAATACACCTTCAGAGGTGGGGTCAGAAAAGGGAGAGGAAGGGACTTTAGAGTATTTGTTTTCTCTGTAAGCTCCTCATGCCCTCAACCTGCCTGCTTGGCAAAATGAGAGCCCAAATTCATCATCTGTACTAGCCACTGTCAAAAAGATTGTTATTCCACTTAGGAGCATACTTCCAGCTCTTAGGGAACTGCTGTGCGCTGCCGTTCCTTGTTATATAAACCCATTGGCACTGAGGTGGTTCAGAATTAAGCCATTTCTCTGTAGACTAGTTGGTGCACGCTGAGGTACGCATCAGCCAGCATTAGGAAGCTTTAGTAAGCTTACTGTAATTTTAAGTTCAGAGCTGTTGGCAGCGTGTTCAATGTGTGAAAGCACTGAATTCTCATTTCTCTATTATCTCAAAACACTCCTTTTATTCATAATCTTTTTATTTATTCGTATGTACATATGTTGTTTGGGCCATCTCTCCCCCTAAAATATTCTTTTAAGTGAATCATTGGATCCTGCTGTTCCCTTGATAGAATGTTTCATCTTTTAAAGTGCTGATAATAAAAGATCTCTGCTGCCAAAAAAAAAAAAAAAAATCTGCAGAAACTACATTGAATCCAAAAGTGGTTTGGGGCTAAAGAAAAGTCTTGGGGTTTAGATTGAGTTTGAAACCTCATTTTACAACATTCTTTGTCTAAACATACTGTACCTTGATGTATTTTAGATGCACTCTACATCCTCCTAGCAGTAAGGGAGGTTCTTTTTTTTTTTTTTTAAGAAATTTTATATACTGCCTGGCTGACTGGCTTTAACGCTAATTCTCCTAGAACAGCAGATGGCAGCTAAGTGCTTGATCACTGCAACTAAGCTTGGCTTGACCTTGGCTCTCAAACACCTATCAGGCTGCCTTTTTTTTTTTTCTTTTTTTTTTAAGAGAAAAGCCTTTCTTGGAGTTGACTAATCTTGACTTCATGGGAATGATTTATTGATAAAACTCTTATATAGTATTAGTGAAGTTTTGATAATATTCTTTGCATTCCATACAAAGAATATTAGAAAAGGATATAGCGCTGGGTTAATTTTCTTACTTCTTCATTTGCAAGGTTCTGGAACATTATAAGGTTTTCACATTTGCATTGATCTTGTTTTTCTTCCAAAGGGCTTCCTGAGAAAACAGATGGAAAGTGTTCACCTCTACCAGACACATAATAATAGGACTGAGTCAGTGTGTAGAGGAAACCATAATGAAAGAAATGCTCAACTTTTTCCATGCAGCCAGATCCAGTAAAGTAAATACTAGGAAAGGGCATCTAACAACGGAAGAGGCCTTTTTAAAGTTCTTTACTTAGAATTACCTGAAGATTTTGTCGAGTGGAAAAGTTTTTGTGTAGACCGAGAAAAATTGTCTTCTTCAAACAGATATCTATGTTGCACTGCAAAATTAGAACAGGAAAGTAGGTCTCGGATATTTATGGTAATCGGCTCAGATTCTGTAAAGAGAATGAAAACTGAGGTCAAACCTGCTTAACACTATTGAGGTCTAAAGCAGCCATCAGCTGAGTAGAAGGACTTGGTATTCCTAGCATTTGGTTCAGAGCTTTACTTTGAGGTATACTGTGGCAAAAGGATTGTCACAGACATAGAGCCTGGTTACCAAATATGGCTTAAAGAAAATAGAGTAACTCCGCTAGAGGAAAAAATGCGTTAGTCAACATGTTTTAACCTTACAACTTTCATCTGGAGAGCAATCATGGCAGAAGAACCCACTAAAGATTCTAAAGACACTGCTTTTTAGAATTTACCTGTTGGCTGGTGGACCCTCTTTGGCAGTTCCCTTGTTGGGGAGTCTTGTCTTCCATCAGAGTCTTCTAGAGCTAAGTGAAAAGAGATGGCCAAAAGGAGTGACAGTTCCCCACATGGAAGCATGTGCACTTCAGAAAGCTGGGCCCAAATCAACTGCTTATCTGCCTGCCACCACCCAGGTGTGTTGGTTTTATTTGGTAACACCACAGATTCAAAAAAATGGTTACTGTCACTTCAGGGTAATTCTCTCCTAGGAGAATCCTGGAGCCCTTAAATACATTTAACCTCTGGTCCAATGTCTCAGCTAGATGATAGGGTAGAAAAAAAGTTTAGGCTGTTAAGGATCAAGTTGGAATGGCTGCAGCCTCCACTTGAGGTATTTAATTGATGACTAAATTAGTTCCAAGGCAAAGTATGATCTACCCGCAGGAATCTGAAAGGCCTTCCCTCCCTGGTCCCACTTCATCTCAGAGTTCTTAAGAGGAGTAAGACACTGGATTTTACTAGTGTCTGAACCTGGGGCCTGAGTAAAAAGAAAAATGTGCAGAACTACTATGTGTGAGCTACAAACAAAATCTGAATTTTACAGGACAGTCTAATATTCAGTAAACAAAAGTAACCCATGTGGGAAGTCATTCTTTACATTTCCAGCAGTGGGCTTAACAAGGATGGCCATCCCTTTCCACTCTAATTATAGGCACATCCTGAAATTGCACCTCAGCATTCCTAATTTATATAATGGGTGTTTCTTGTTTAAATGACCATTTCTCTGGGGTCTTGGTGAGGAGTAAGTATGCTGGCATATCAAAAATATTTTTCACACTGAGCAAGGGATCAAGTGATGGTAGCTGACGCCATTGTCTTCTCCCTCCCTCCCTGTTCCCTTTTGAGCTTAGTGTTTCAGGTATCACAGGTCTAACCACCAGGAAGCACTTTTTTGAGCATGCTGAAGGAATGGGTTGAGGATTTCTCCCTCACAGGTTCATGCTGCCCCATTGGCTAAGTTTTTCTTAGACACTGGCTACAGTACCCTTGCAGATGCCTTGCTTTAGTTTTTCACTTATTTCACCCATGGTGCTGAAGTCTTCTGCATAGAAGAGATGCTTGTCAGTGGGCTCAGAAGCAATCTCTTGTAGTTCTTCCTCAATGGCTTTCCCCACCCCAACAGCATATATAGTGATGCCTAGGGGAAAGAAGAAATTAGAGCAAGGTAGTTAAAGTTCTGTTCCCAAAGTCTGGAAGTTGTGTGTACTACCGCCCAGTCAGCTGGATATTGACATCATTTCAAGGGTTGATACCAACACCTCTTTTTTTGTATTTTTCCACCATTTTAATTTTGGCCCTATGAGCAAAAAGACAGAATCTAGAGAGTAGTGAGGTATTTGGGACAGATTGGGAGCTAAAGCACCAACCTGCTGCCCATCTCTGGGGAGGGTTATTTAACAAATCTGCAACTTTCCCCAGAATTAGCCTTCTGGAGTGTAGGAAGCATCTATCTTACAGCTTACTAAAATGGGAATATCTTCTGAAAATTCTAAGAAGTAGGTCAATTTATGACTTTATTACCTAATTTCTATTTCTCAAAGATAAAGGATAGGAATCTTAAAGTGACCTGGGGCCAGGTGGTGCAGCCTTCTGCCCACCTCTCTTGGGAGGACATCATCTTGAGAAGTGCTAAACTGAAGAGGAAACTCTGTAGACCACTGGAAATCTCTAGTCAAGAAAAAAAGCAATCCCAAGTATCAACCTTAAATTTCAAGGGGGACTTGAGGTTAAATCAAATTAATCATTAGGATCCTTTTCCTCATATACTCTTCATTTGAAAGTAAAACAATAAACATTAAGTTCTGCTTGATTTCCAACATTTTTTAGTACTGATATGTTACTCTGGCTAATTCATTAAGCTAGAGTTTTTAAAAATGTGCTTTAAAATGGCCCTGAAAGCCAGGGGCAAGAGTTATGCCTTGTTCTGAGTCTGTGTCAGGTCAACAGCCAAGTTCAGCATATTTGTGTGGGAGCTCAATGCCCTTGTGCACAGCTTCCTAAAAAGGGGAACCACTATTTTAAGATTGTATTAACTATACACAAGAGCAATTAAATTTATTAGAGGATATCACTTCAGATAACCTTGTTGACTGAAGAACCAAATATCTGTTTCTCCTACCACTTATCTTTGGGTAATTTGTAGAAATTTGGATGAGGGAGAGGATAAAGTAGATTAGTTTCAGTGAGTCAAACAAAAGGGTTAATCACAGTTTCTGGAGACAAAGATGCATCCCAGAATTTTTTTTTTTTTTGACAGTAATGGAGTTAACTAACGCAGGCCTTATGCTTGCTAGGCAGGTGCTCTATTACTTGAGCCACTCTACCAGTCCTCAATGATGGTTATTGAGGTAAGATCTCACTCTATGCCTAGGTTGGCCTGGACCACAGTCCTGTTTGTGTTTCTCTGCATAGTTGGGGATGATAGGCACCCATCCATTGCTTGAGATGGGGAATCTCATGAACTTTTTGCCTGGGCTGGCCTCAAACCATGATCTTCCTAATCTCTGCCTCCCAAGGAGCTAGGATTATAGGTTTTAGCTGCCATACCTGGCCTTCTCAGTACTTTTTAAGAATGAAGGCTAGAGGAACCCACGGGTTAAACATGAGCTCTAGCAAGCTAGTCTAGTATGAACAAACTGTTTTATAACCCACTCAGCTGATTCAAGACTGGACACCTCTCGTGGCTCCCACACTCTTGGGCAAGGATAATAGGGGTGAATGGTGAGGTAAGCAATCTCAACAAAATGCCTCCTTTACAAAGAGAGAGATTGGAATCAATGTGAACCAGCCTTTCTGTGAGGAAGTTCACCAATGGGAGCAGCAATACTCCCATTCCTGTGTTCACTGACTCAGCAAGTGTTTGCCGCGTACCTTCTATGTGTCAGGTCTGATATGAACATGGGGCCCATAAAGGCTTAGGTGACACCGTGGTCTGTGTGAACCCTTTTTCCCTTAGAGGACCTGCTAAGACACTGTGCTCTCAACAAGTATGTACAGGAGGTAGCTTGCAGGCAAACTGCTTTACAACCTCAAGTTTATGTATATCCCCAGAGGAAACTAGACCCTTCACCATGAGCTGTCTCTACCAGCCATCCTGGTTTTGGGGGTTCCCTTCTGCCAAGCCACAGTCCTCTTCCACACTTCACATCTCTACAACTGAAGTAACCCTCGAGTTCCTCCCTGAATTGTACATGAGGTCAGGAAAACCTCAGAGAAGAAGCTGAAGTTTATTGAGCAACAGGAGCTTAGAGTCACAATCTCTTTCCAACATTTGATTCTCTCAAAAACTAGCTTTTGCTTCCTGCAAACACAAGAGTATTCTTTATCCCAAGGCTACACATGCTTTCAGAGTGTTCACTTGAAGCATTAGTTTTAAAACGTGTATATGTATACATCTCAGTAAAACTTCCCACCAAGAATCTATTTTTTAACAAGCCCTTCAGATGATTCTAAAGAAAATACGTCAGTGTGTGGGGGCTGTTGGGAGTGCGTGGGTAACTATCGGGTGCAGGGCGGATTCTCTCCACCGGAGGTCACACACTGGGTAGTATCACATACTGGGCTGTGAGACTTTCTCATCCTTCCTGAGCACTTTATGGACCATCGCTGGGGTCCCATTAAGGCCTCTAGGTGGCAGTTTAGTGAAGGTGTATAATGGCAGTTGTCAGTTGTATTCAAAGACTTTTTCATATGCCAATTGTGACCATGGAGTGAGTTTTAAAAACCTGAACCTTGAGTGGTGTAAGCCACATCTCCATCCCATATTACCATTGGCCTTGGCTTTACTGGCCCACTCGGAGACGTCATCCTGAGCACGTCCGTCGGTGAACACGATGGCCACTCTGGGAACCCGCATGGAGAGGGGCCTGGCCCCTTCTCCTTGGGTAAAGCTTCTCTCAAGCATGTGTTTCAATGCCAGCCCAGTCATAGAGCCCTTGCGCATGTACTTCATTTGGGCCACGGCTTTTTTCATGTCTTTGGCCGAGCTGAAGTTTCTCAGAGTAAACTCTGTGCGGACCTGCGTGGAATATTGGAGCAGCCCCACTCGAGCAGCTTTGGGGGAAACTGCCAAGGAATCTATAATTCCAGTGACAAACTGCTTCACAATCTCAAAATTTTCTTCTCCGAGGCTCTTGGATCCATCAATTACAAAGACCAGGTCGATTGGGCCTTCAGTGCATCCTACAGGAACAAAAGGACAGTTGACATGGCTAAATAATTAAAATCATTTATGTACAAAGAAGGAAACTATGCTTAACCACTTTGAAAAACCACCTTTGTTCTTTAATGCACAGGACAGACGTTGGAAGGGTAACATGCAACAATCATTTGCACATTCATTTTTATGTTTGGCTTATCAAATTGGTGAAATGAGAGATTTCCACAAGCAAAAACACAGTAGATGTATAAATTATCTAAGAAACCAGGCCTACACTGCAACCCTGATCACTGACAGCCAGGTCTGGGAGGGACTATGTGTACAGCACCCTGAAGGATGTGACTACATCAAACGCTTCCTATTGCTTACTCTGAAGGGTGACATCACACGAGTGCTGGCATGCTGACAATGGAGGAAGAGATGCTTAAAATTCTCAGTCATCACTCTTCCAAGGAGCTTTCCCAGTAACCCAGCTTGCTTTTGGGATACTCTAGCACTATTAATTTATTCACCAAAAACTCACTTTACCTGTTTTGTGCAAGGCAGTGAACACAGCAAGACTGCAATAGTGACCAAGAAAGTGTCTGGCACCAAGTGCTTAAGTCTACTATACTCTATGCCATATTCCACAGAGTACAATAATTACTTCACTGTGTGACTGTCCCTCCTCAGTCTGTGGGTTCTCCCTCAGTCTGGACTGTGTGTCATTCATTTCTGTGTCCCTTATGCCTGGTACACATAGGTGCTCAACAAATACTTATGGACAGGTTAAAAGAATGAGGGGTTGTCCATTGGGTAAAACATCTCTAAGTACCCTACTGACCTATTAAGGCTTAAAAATGAATCATCACTGTGAATTCCATATAGCATAGCTTTTTGGGCAACTCAGATGGTTGACAGTAAAAGAGAGAGAAAAACTTTATGCAAATACCTAAGCAATTTGGGTGTTGAGAGACTTTTTGTTATTTCAGGCTGCATAAGAAAAATTTACAGATCCCAAATGGATGATCTCACTTCAGTCTCCAGTGTGTTATTTTAACATGTTCTTTATATGTCAACCAGCTGTACAATCTTTCCAAGTGAAGCACAACAATATGAGCGAGCAAAGACATACACACGCAAAAATATTTCTATGCCTGGCCAGTATAAAATGCTAGTGAAGGGCAGGGGGCGTGACTCAAGTGGGTAAGTGCTTGCCTAGCAAGTACAAGGCCCTGAGTTCGAACCCCAGTACTGCTGAAAAAAACCATTTATTCATAAAATGCTAACGTAAATGCTAACGTAATTCTCTCTCTCTGAGTGTGGGGGTTGACTCTTCTCTTTTTCCATTAAGTACTTGTTCTTATTACTCAACCTATTGATTCTTTAATAGTGAATGAGGAAAAGGCCAATTCAGAGCTTCATTTACATTCACAGCCTGTTCTTGGATCGACCAGAAAAATATTCAGATGGCATGCATATCGCTTTCTAGCAGAGTTAAGAAATCATGGAATAATTTACCAGCAGTGAACAGTATTTTCTTCCCTTTTCTTTCATAAAAGATCCAGCCCTTGCAGCCTCCACGCAGAGGGGTGCATGCAGGCTTCTTCAGGAAGCAAGAATGTGGGGTGAGTGGGAGAGTGACAAGGGCCTAGAGACACTGTTTCAGAGCCAGGAAGGAGGACGTCCTCACTTGCTGAGTACTTGTTTGCAGGAGGGTCTCTCCCACTTTTCTAGGGCATTTTCTTTTTGGTAGTTAAGCCAGTGAGACTGTGATTTGTTCTCAGAACATAGCTTTCACAGGATTCTAGAAATTCAGTGTTGGATAAGTCCTTTAAAATTCATCTACTCCTGCTGCCATTGCTTACCTCTCTGCAGCATCCCCAGCAAGTGGCCACTCAGTCTGGGCCTCACCATCTCTCCTGATGAGGATCACCTCACCACTGAAACGCCATCTTTAGCCAGCTCTGCTCTTGCTGAATGCAGTAGACATCATTTATTGAGCACTTTGTGTGTGCCAGCACTGGATACCTGATCTCATGTATGCCTTACAATGGCTCTGAGAGGCATATTCTCATTGTATAGATGAGGAAACTGAGACTCACAGAGACTAAAGATTGTGCCCAAGGTCACACAAGAAGCACGAATGGGGGTTCAAATCCAGGTCTGACCAGAAGCTCATGCTCTGAACTAGTTAATCATGTAGTAACCCTGAGAGGACCCTTCTCTGTCCTCATGCTGAGCTGCAACTTCTCCCTAGTGTCCACCCCTGGAGTGGGTTAGGGTGGGGTAGAGAGGAGTGACATATAAATCAGGAATGAGGAGATAGCCACTTTTGTGTTTGAATAGTATCTTAAGTCATCTTCTTTTTTTTTTTTTTTTAAACAAAGATTCCCAGTTTCTTCCTTTATTATTTGCTAGACATGGATGTGAACTTTTTGAAATGTTTGAATTTTGTTCCATGTACATGTATAATTTTTAGAAATATTAAAGGAATAGGATTAATACAAACATGATTTAGAAAGAATAAACATAATCGTTATCTACAGGTTGAGCTCCTAGAAGTGAAGTTGGATTTAAAATATGGCCAAATTGCCCTCATAAAGGTTGCAGCAATTCAGATATGAACGATCTTCCACATTTATAACTGCCTGTAACAGCCTGCCTTTGCCAACATAAGTAACCATCAAAATTCTGATCTTCAAAAACTAATGGGTCAAAAAGGTATCCTAGCTTTAATCTCTATATATTTTCCCTTTTTTCTTCTGTGACATTTAAATTTCATATCATGCTTACAAAGAACTTCTCTGAGATTATCAAACAATTTTCTCAAAATTTCTTTTGCTATGTGGTGCTTGCAGTTTTATCTATCTATCTATCTATCTATTCATTTATTTATTTTTATACTACCAGGGTTTGAAAACTCTCCCATTTGAGCCACACCTGCAGCCCTATTTTTGTTTGTTTGTTTCAGTCTTTGATTCATGTTGTTGTGCTGAGGCTTGAACTCAGGGCCTCACACTTGCTAGGCAAGTGCTCTACCTTGAGCCACTCTGCCAGCCCTTTGTTGTTTTGTGTATTTTTGAGATAGGGTCTCACGAGCTATTTGCCCAGATTGGCTTCGAACTGCAATCCTCCTGATCTCTGTCTGCCTCCTGAGTAGCTAGGATTGCAAGCATGAGTCACCAGCATCAGGATTTGATTCCTCTCTTACGCACAGAACTGAATGTAATTCTCCAGCACAGTGTGCCACACAATTCTACCTCTCATGTCCAGAGTTTTGTTTTTTAGTTCTTTTGTGTGTGTGTGTGTGTGGTTCTGGGGATGGAGCCCAGGGACTCCCCTATGCTAGACAAATGCTCTACCTCTGAGATTTTTATTCAGCCCAAGATCACCGATAATAAGCTTACTGTCAAGTAAAACCCAAAGTGTTTGGCAGGTGGTCCTTCCCCATTCTGCACTTGTGCACCCACAATTATATTTATGGGAGAAGCCAGAGGTGAGGAATTTGTTGCCTGAAAATACTCCAAAAAAAAAAAATAGTTGTTCCAAAACCAAATGGAAGCAGAGTGCCAAGTTCATATCACTTACTCCTGCAGTGCCTTCCATCCTCAGCTAGGACAAAACCCTCTGAACACTTGCAGATGTAGGAGTCACCACTGTTCACACAAATGTGTTCACAGCCATGGTGGGTTGACTTGCAGACATCTTTCCCTGGGGAAAGAACAAGGAGAGGAATGATCCCATCAGTGTAGAAATGAGCTAGCATGAGCAGTCATATAAGGGGAGATTAAAGACATCATCCATTAAACAAAAAACCCATTTCTGTGAAAACTTCTTTATAGTTTGTTTTTTAGTATCATGCCCAGCTCAGGCCAAAATCAAAGAGCACCTCCTCCCAGGAAGCTGCAGCTCCCACAAGCTGGAGTGGATTTACTATGAAATCTTAGAATGGCTACGTGTGCTTTAACTTCTGGGTTTTCTCCATGGAGATCCCTTGCACTCTGTTTTGGCTCTCTACTGAGCATTTCTCATGGTGAGGTATTTTGAACTCTTAAAAGAAGTTGCAAGCCCTTCAATCCATATGACATCCTGGGATAGGATGAGGGTGACATTGCTATACCCAAGGCATTCAGGAAGAAACGGATCCTCAAAGAGTTTCCCTGAGTTGCCCAGGGTCATCCAGCAATTTGGTGGCCCAGCTGAGGCATGTTGTCTCCTGAGTCCACCTCCTTGACAGTGTGTCACCCGCAGGCTCCTTTCTGTCTTTTCAAAGGAGAAGCCTCACACAAAATTGGCGTTGGTGTCTACAGATCCCGCTAGAAAGTAGGAATGGGTGGGATCTGATTTAGCAATGAAAGTTCCCAGGGCAGAAGTTGTGCCTTGTGTACATAGCTCAATATTTTGAGCAATAAATGTGTCGAGTAAATAGACAGTATGTGAGGGAAACACGCGTATTTACAGAAATAAAAGCAGGAATGAATGCTCAGGCAGACAGAATGGCAGGATCGAGGACATGGTCTCCACAAAAGGTACGCTGCAGTGTGAAGCTAGAACCTGGGATGGTGGAGGGAGGCCTATAGCATCAGGCCAGGGCTCTGTGGCACACAGTCAGCTGTCCACACAAGTTCTAGCTTAAAGTAGGAGCCCTCCTCCTGGGGAAGAGCAAGGCTCTGTTGACACGTAGAATGCCCCTACTCACCTCAAGGGAGTCTGTAAGGAAAAGCCCCCTTCAACCTCAAATGCAAATGAGCTTATTTCCGTTTTGCCCACTGAAGTAGTGTCACAAAAGCAAGCAGGTAGTCAGCCCCCAAGAGGATGACATCCAGAATCCCACAGTGGAAAAACATCCCTGCCCTGTGCTCTTCGAATGCCTCTGAGCTAGTGTGGTCACATCTCTCCTTTCCTTGGGTACTGTGGTGGCTAATTTTATGTGCCACCTTGGCTAGGCTATGGTGCCAGTTGTTTGGTCAAACACCAATCTAGATGATGCTGTGAAGGTAACTTTTAGATGATCTCAACATTTAAATCAGTGGGCTTTGAGTAAACCAGATCATCCTCCATAATGTGAGTGGGCCTCATCCAATCAGTTGAAGGCCTTGGAGAAAAAGACAAGGTCCCCTAAGGAAGAGGAAATTCTGTACCAGACCATGTCAGACCATGTGCAGACTCCAGCTGTAGCAACAGCTCTTTCTGCGTCTCCAGTCTGCCTACAGACACACTCTCCAGCCCTCACAATCCCACGAGCCAACAGCTTAAAATCAATTTCTCTTTTTCTCTTCCTCAGCCCCTCTTCACCCACAGCACACTTACGCACACACATGCACACATCCACAGTTGTCTGGTTTTTGGGAGAACACTGACAATACATTTTTTTTGTGGGGGTCTCATTATGCAGTTAGGCTGGCCTGGAACTTGAATATTCCTCCTGCCTCAGTCTCTCCAGTGAACTTTCAAACTAAACTCTAAGAGTTTATTCTAAGTGACAGAAGCAAATGACAGGGTTTTCAAAAACCCACAGGGCATCCCTTCAGCCCCTCTCCCACCCTGTACCCTTACTTACAAAGTCTGCCAAATTTCAGTGCCAAAAGCACTGAAATTATCTTTTGGTCCTCATAGTAAGTGGATTGTTGGCAAAGAATCTAATTCTGCCCAATGACTGTCTAGGCACTGAGCTAGGCTCTGGGCACCCACGCAGCTGTGATGGGAAGGCCCAGCAGCCCAGAGGACAGGGACAGAGGCAAAGAGTTCCACAACCCAGGAGCTCTCCTGAGAAATCCCTAAGGACCCGAGGTTCGACTGCCTGACCTTTTGTAAAACACTTCTCTGTACGCAAAGCAGGGCATTTGTGGCGTGGGTTAAGATGTTTATTGGGAAGGCTTAAGGATGAAGGGACTATCTGTAACTATCAGGGTCCCAGGAATGGAGGCATCCTTCACCTTGGCCACTTACTTCTGCAGCGCTTCCCGTCCTGGGCCAGCTTGAATCCCTCCAGGCATTTGCAGATATACGAGTCATTGCTGTTCACACAGATGTGCTCACAGCCATGGGCCACATCTCGGCAGACATCTTTCCCTGAGGACAGCAGAGCCATTCAAACAAGTGCATCAACAGAGATTGAGCCTGACCCCTTGGAGGGGACATCCGTCTCAGCTACTGGGTGCTAGTGCCACTGGAGCAGGAAGGCACAGGGGGAGGAAGTTTAGTGGCTCTGACTGAGGCTGACTCTTCAACCTTTCTCACTGTCATTGCCAGCACTCCCTTCAGTGTTTCCTCAGAACACAATCCATCCTGATCTCTGCTCAATTTGGCTTCTCATGCCAAATGGAAATGCTGTTTGGACAATTGCTTAGGAGATTAGACTTCAATTTAGATCAGCAGCACTGGAATCTAATTTTGGCTTTGTCCCTGACATAATATATGACTTAGGAGAATACTTAACCTCTTGGCATCTTAGCTTTCCTGTCTGAAAAGGAGGAATAATCCAAGTCACTCATCTTCTCTTCGAATGGTGTCAACCAAGTTGCCCCTTGTAAAGAAGCATGAGAAGAAGATGACTGATAGGGGTGGGAATCTTTTGCCCAGGGTTGCCCCCCTCTTTGATTACAATGAGATGTGTCTTGATATTTATGCCAGTAATTAATTCACTTGTACTAGGCAGCTTGTCATGACTCCATCTAAGAGGTTTTGCTTTCTGAAGGATAAAAATGACCTCACCACAAGCCAAGTGCAGTGGGTCACACCTGTAATCTCAGTTACTAGGGAGAAGGAGATTGGTAGGATTGTAGTTCAAGGCCAGCCTGTGCAAAAGGTTAGCAAGATCACATCTTTTTTTTTATTTATTGTTTTATTATTCATATGTGCATACAAGGCTTGAGTCATTTCTCCCCCCTGCCCCCACCCCGTCCCTTACCACCCACTCCACCCCCTCCCTCTCCCCCCCACCCTCAATACCCGGCAGAAACTATTTTGCCCTTATCTCTGATTTTGTTGTAGAGAGAGTATAAGCAATAATAGGAAGGAACAAGGGTTTTTGCTGGTTAAAGATAAGGATAGCTATACAGGACATTGACTCACATTGATTTCCTGTGCGTGGGTGTTACCTTCTAGGTTAATTCTTTTTGATCTAAACTTTTCTCTAGTTCCTGGTCCTCTTTTCCTATTGGCCTCAGTTGCTTTTAAGGTATCTGCTTTAGTTTCTCTGTGTTAAGGGCAACAAATGCTAGCTAATTTTTTAGGTGTCTTACCTATCCTCACCCCTCCCTTGTGTGCTCTCGCTTTTATCATGTGCTCAAAGTCCAATCCCCTTGTTGTGTTTGCCTTTGATCTAATGTCTGCATATGAGGGAGAACATACGATGTTTGGTCTTTTGGGCCAGGCTAACCTCACTCAGAATGATGTTCTTCAATTCCATCCATTTACCAGCGAATGATAACATTTCATTCTTCTTCATGGCTGCATAAAATTCCATTGTGTATAGATACCACATTTTCTTAATCCATTCGTCAGTGGTGGGGCATCTTGGCTGTTTCCATAACTTGGCTATTGTGAATAGTGCCACAATAAACATGGGTGTGCAGGTGCCTCTGGAGTAACCTGTGTCACAGTCTTTTGGGTATATCCCCAAGAGTGGTATTGCTGGATCAAATGGTAGATCAATGTTTAGCTTTTTAAGTAGCCTCCAAATTTTTTTCCAGAGTGGTTGTACTAGTTTACATTCCCACCAGCAGTGTAAGAGGGTTCCTTTTTCCCCCACATCCTCGCCAACACCTGTTGTTGGTGGTGTTGCTGATGATGGCTATTCTAACAGGGGTGAGGTGGAATCTTAGTGTGGTTTTAATTTGCATTTCCTTTATTGCTAGAGATGGTGAGCATTTTTCCATGTGCTTTTTGGCCATTTGAATTTCTTCTTTTGAGAAAGTTCTGTTTAGTTCACTTGCCCATTTCTTTATTGGTTCATTAGTTTTGGGAGAATTTAGTTTTTTAAGTTCCCTATATATTCTGGTTATCAGTCCTTTGTCTGATGTGTAGCTGGCAAATATTTTCTCCCACTCTGTGGGTGTTCTCTTCAGTTTAGAGACCATTTCTTTTGATGAACAGAAGCTTTTTAGTTTTATGAGGTCCCATTTATCTATGCTATCTCTTAGTTGCTGTGCTGCTGGGGTTTCGTTGAGAAAGTTCTTACCTATACCTACTAACTCCAGAGTATTTCCTACTCTTTCCTGTATCAACTTTAGAGTTTGGGGTCTGATATTAAGATCCTTGATCCATTTTGAGTTAATCTTGGTATAGGGTGATATACATGGATCTAGTTTCAGTTTTTTGCAGACTGCTAACCAGTTTTCCCAGCAGTTTTTGTTGAAGAGGCTGCTATTTCTCCATCGTATATTTTTAGTGCCTTTGTCAAAGACAAGTTGGTTATAGTTGTGTGGCTTCATATCTGGGTCCTCTATTCTGTTCCACTGGTCTTCATGTCTGTTTTTGTGCCAGTACCATGCTGTTTTTATTGCTATTGCTTTGTAATATAGTTTGAAGTCAGGTATTGTGATACCTCCTGCATTGTTCTTTTGACTGAGTATTGCCTTGGCTATTCGTGGCCTCTTGTGTTTCCATATAAATTTCACGGTAGATTTTTCAATCTCTTTAATGAATGTCATTGGAATTTTGATGGGAATTGCATTAAACATGTAGATTACTTTTGGGAGTATCGACATTTTTACTATGTTGATTCTACCAATCCATGAGCATGGGAGATCTCTCCACTTTCTATAGTCTTCCTCAATCTCTTTCTTCAGAAGTTATAGTTTTCCTTGTAGAGGTCTTTCACATCTTTTGTTAGGTTTACACCTAGGTATTTGATTTTTTTTGAGGCTATTGTAAATGGAATTGTTTTCATACATTCTTTTTCAGTTTGCTCATTGTTAGTGTATAGAAATGCTAATGATTTTTCTATGTTGATTTTATATCCTGCTACCTTGCTGTAGCTATTGATGATGTCTAGAAGCTTCTGAGTAGAGTTTTTGGGTCTTTAAGGTATAGGATCATGTCATCTGCAAATAGGGATATTTTGACAGTTTCTTTACCTATTTGTATTCCTTTTATTCCTTCTTCTTGCCTAATTGCTCTGGCTAGGAATTCCAGTACTATGTTGAATAGGAGTGGAGATAGTGGGCATCCTTGTCTCGTTCCTGATTTTAGAGGGAATGGTTTCAGTTTTTCTCCGTTAAGTATAATGCTGACTGTAGGTTTGTCATATATAGCTTTTATAATGTTGAGGTACTTTCCTTCTATTCCTAGTTTTCTTAGAGCTTTTATCATGAAATGGTGTTGGATCTTATCAAAGGCTTTTTCTGCATCTATTGAGATGATCAAGTGGTTTTTGTCTTTGCTTCTGTTAATGCGGTTCATTATGTTTATTGATTTTCATATGTTGAACCACCCCTGCATCCCTGGGATGAAGCCTACTTGGTTGGTGAATAATCTTTTTGATGTGCTGTTGGATTCGGTTTGCCATTATGTTGTTGAGGATTTTTGCGTCAATGTTCATTAAGGAGATTGGCCTATAGTTCTCCTTTTTTGGAGGTGTCTTTGCCTGGTTTTGGGATAAGTGTAATACTGGCTTCATAAAATGTGTTAGGCAGTTTTCCTTCCCTTTCTATTTCATGGAACCGTTTAAGGAGGGTTGGTATCAGTTCTTCTTTAAAGGTCTGATAAAATTCAGCAGAGAATCCATCAGGTCCTGGACTTTTCTTTTTGGGGAGACTCTTGATTGCTGCTTCAATTTCATTTTGTGTTATAGATCTATTCAGGTGATTAATTTCCTCTTGGTTCAGTTTTGGATGATCATATGTATCTAGAAATCTGTCCATTTCTTTAAGATTTTCAAATTTATTTGAATATAGGTTCTTGAAGTAGTCTCTGATGACTTCCTGGACTTCCATGGTGTTTGTTGTTATCTCCCCTTTTGGCAAGATCACTTTTTTTTTTTCTTTTTCTTTTACTATTCATATGTGCATACAGGGCTTTGTTCATTTCTCCCCTGCCCCCACCCCCTTCTTCTCCCCCCCACCCCCTCAATACTCAGCAGAAACTATTTTGCCCTTATTTCTAATTTTGTTGTAGAGAGAGTATAAGCAATAACAGGAAGGGACAAGGGTTTTTGCTGGTTGAGATAAGGATAGCTATATAGGGTATTGACTCACATTGATTTCCTGTGCGTGGGTATTACCTTCTTGGTTAATTCTTTTTGATCTAACCTTTTCTCTAGTACCTGTTCCCCTTTTCCTATTGGCCTCAGTTGCTTTTAAGGTATCTGCTTTAGTTTCTCTGCGTTAAGGGCAACAAATGCTAGCTAATTTTTTAGGTTCTTACCTATCCTCACCCCTCCCTTGTGTGCTCTCGCTTTTATCATGTGCTCATAGTCTAATCCCATTGTTGTGTTTGCCCTTGAGCAAGATCACATCTTAATGAATAAGCTGGGCATGGCAGCACTGACTGTCACCCAGCTACATGGGAAGGTTAAGTAGTAGGACTGCAATCCAGGCCAGTCCAGGCAAAAAACATGAGACCCTATATGAAAAATAACTAACGCAAAAAGGGCTGGGGCTGTGGCTCAAGTGCTAGAGCACCTGCTTTTCACCAAGTGTGAGGCCCTGAGTTCAAACCCCCGTATTTGTGCAACCAGAATGACATCATTGAACACAGTCAAGCAGAGGCTAAGAAGCGAGGTGACTTCCCCACTATTGCACACAGGCTGACTGACCCCTGTTGCCTCTTCCACCACAGCACATCGCTAAATCAGTGCTTGTTGCCACAGAGCACATCTGGGTCACTTCAGCTGTACCACTGACTGGCACTGACCTTTTTGTTTGTTTGTTCATTTGGTTTTTTAAATAGGCTTAATAATAAATTAATTAATTTAGGTGCTGGAGTTAAACCTTGGGCCTCGTTTTCTTTTTTTTGGTGGTACTGGGGTTTGAACTCAGGGCCTCACACTTACCAGGCAGGCACTTTACCACTTGAGCCACTCCACCAGCCCCACCCTGGGCCTCGTGCATGCTAAACATGTGCTCTACACTGGGCTAACCCCACCCCAGCCCTAGACTGACTGGCTTTATTTTTGGTGTTACTGGAGTTTGAACTCAGGGCCTTGTGCTTACCGAGCAAGCACTCTTCCACTTGAGCCACACTCCCAGCCCTTTTTGCTTTAGGTTATTTTTTTAGATAGGGTCTCATGTTTTTGCCTGGGACTGGTCTGGACCATGATCCTTCTACCTACAGAATGGTCTCAAAACACAGTCCTCCTGATCTCTGCCTCCCAAATAGCTGGGATTACAGGTGTGAGCCACTGTTCCTGGTGAGACTTTATTTTTTAGGACAATTTTAGATATACAGAAAAACTGGGAAAACAGTAGAGGGAATTCCATGTGCCCCATGGCAATCTCCCCCTATTATTAATATCTTAATATTAATATGGCATGTCTGTTATCATTAATGAGCCCATTTTGGTACATAATTGTAACTGAAGGCCGTGGTTTATGTACATGTACTTTTACTGAGTGTCCTTTTCCTGTCAAGGACCCCATCTAGGATACCCCATTGCATGTGCTTGCATGGTGTTGACTTTGGAGAGTAACTGGCTACAAGAGATCAGGAGAGGGGACGCATGCAGTGGTCTGACATAGTAACATAAGCCAGCAGCAAAACTTACTTCTGCAGGTTTTCCCGTCGTCACGGAGTATGTAACCTTCAAAGCACTGACACACAAATGAGTCGTCACTGCTTACACATGAATGTTCACAGCCATGGTCCCCCAAGGCACAAGAGTCCAGTTCTGAAAACCAAGTTGGAATTTCAGAAACAGAAGAAGAAAATGATGCACACACGGGTGACTTATTTGTTCATAAGAACATTTCAGCAGGGTGTGGCACTGCACACTTGTAATCCGGACTCAGGAAGCTGAGTCAAGAAAAGCAAGAGTTTAAGGCAGCCTGGACTACATAGAAACCTTGTCTCAGAAAACAAACAAAACAAAAGACATTTCAGCACCTTAAATTAAAACAGTGCCTTTCCTCTCAGATCACATTTCAGAATAGAAAGCTTATTTATGAGCAAAAATTCTTCTTCTTCTTCTTTTTTTTTTTTTTTTTTTTGTGGTACTGGGGTTTGAAATCAGGGCCTTGCTCTTGCTAGGCAAGTGCTCTACTGCTTGAACCACTCTACCAGCCAGCAAAAATTCTTAACATAAACAAAGAACATACAAAATACAATCATATCTCCAGGAAATGAACAAAAGAGAGGAAAAGACAACTTGCAAAGGAAAGATATAAATATGAGAAAGTGAAGTCTGACTTTCTGTGCTATCGTATAATACCAACTTATCTGCATATCTACCTATGTATGTGTAAATCACACTTGGACAATCCCTTGATTCACTTATTCAGTCTGTCAACAAACATTTGATGAGTCACCACTATGAGCCAAGCGCTGATCTAGGCTCTGGAGACAGAACAATGAAGAGAACAAAGTTTCTGCTTTTTATGAAGCTTTTCATTTGACAGCAGACATCAAGGGGTAGTGGAGATGAAGTGCATGGAAGAAAAATAAGACACGAACTTCTGTGATGGATCAAGTAGGGAAAAGTGCTACAGAGAAAACACAGGGAAAGGGAGAGAGAGAGTGGCCACCAGTTTGGGCTTGTCATTTTACATGGTGCAATCAGATAGGGTGACATGGACAGAGCCCTGAAGACAGAAAGGAAGTGTGTGGTGGTGTCCGGGAAAGAAAGAAGAGCATTTCACACCACGGCAGGACAGGCAAGGACACCAGCATGACCAGAGCAAGCTGCAGCCTGCAGGGAAGGGGCCAGCGAGGGGCAGGGGAACAGCGTGTGGGGTCACAGGCAGGACGGGTGCGAGAGGGCAGTTGCTAGGGGATGGACGGGTGCGAGAGGGCAGTTGCTAGGGGATGGACGGGTGCGAGAGGGCAGTTGCTAGGGGATTTGGAGGTAGCATCACATAACCTGACTCCACTTTGGAGTGTGGTAAGGACGGAGCATCAAGAGCTGGGAGCAGCTTACAGCACAGATCCCAGAACCTAGACCAGGCTGGTGACATGGACAGTGTGGCCACGGTGTGAAGGCAGAGCCTGTAAGATTTGCTGGTGGTGTTGATAAAAAGTCCATCTTCACATGCACTGGACAAGAGTCAAGGACTGAGCCACCAAAGGATGCATTGTTATTGATAGAGCTGGTGGCTCTTGGGGACCAGAAGGTTTGTGCACCTGTGACCACGAGGCTGACTTTTAAAAACGTAATACTGAGGACAGGTGGACAGTGACTTTTTAAAAGAACCATACGCGTATCTGAGAATTGACTCAATCCCTTCAGACTGAGCAGGACTTCTATAGTGGCTCTGTATTGAAGCCGTTAAATAAAGGCTCCAGTGCACATAACGACTTTCACAATCAGCACAAGGCAGACACTTTTTAGTCCAGCATTCTAGCAGAATTTCTCCTTGGAGGGGAGCCTGTGCACTGTAAGCTGCTGTGATCTTATTTACCCGGAGAAAAACCAAGCTTTGGGAAGGCTAATAGCGGCTTGCCAAGTGCGAGGAGCAGACTGAAAACGCTGTCTTATGATAATAAACCCTTGCCATTCTGCATTACTGTATTCTAACATAAGCTTGCAAATGCAAAGGGAATTTTACCTGTCTTTCTTCCGGTGCAAGTGCTACTAAAAGTCTTTGGACAATGGGAATTGTTAAGGGAAATTTAGCTGCAGAAGAGCTTTGAAGCAAAGCGGGACCCTCTGGCTTGCTGTGCACGCCTTCCTCCTCGGGCAGCTCCTCAGGCAGCGGGAAGTGCAGTGAGTGATCCACAACACAGACGGCTGGCTGGCTGTGGAGGGGAGTTTATTTCCCCCACCATGAATTTATAATAAGAATACTCCATTTTCCAAGGTAATAAAATAGCCTCAGCTCTTTCAGGCCAGCCTTAAGAAGCCATAATCCAGACGAACCCTGTGAGCTTCCCCAGCCCTGCCTGCCCTCTTAGCTTCAGCTCAGGCTTTCCTCTTGACCAGAGGGTGGTGGAATGGTCCCCCAACAGACCCATTGAGCCCCAGGCTTCCTGAGCCAGGGTGGCCCAGCCTGTATTCCTTCACTGGGAGCTGGCTGGGGAGAAGCCATGTGCCCACAGGGGTGTCCCCCAACCTGGGCTGCAGGAGCTCTTCCCAGTTCCTCAGTTCTCCTGGGTTTGTAGCTGTTTGGAATTTTTATTGTGTGCATGCTTTAAAAGTATGTGAAGCATTTTCACTTTTTCCCTCTTCCCCTCTGCATCTCTTTAGAGCATAGCAGAGAGAGAGAGAGGGAGAGAGAGAGAGTTTTCTCAATCTCAGACTATCACAGAAACCTCTTGCAGACAGATTTGCTTAAGGCAAAACTGGCAGATTCCAAAGTCAAACAGACTAAAGGGCTTACTTCCCTGTGGAGGAGTCTCTGGCAGTGTTTATCAAAGTTATAAAATGTACCTTTAACCCAGCCACTTCACTTCTGGAACTGCTCCTACAGAAACCTTGCAGCATATGAAAGAATATACTTTCAAGTTGCTCACGGTGGCACTGTGTGTAATGGTGAAAAATAAATGGGAGCCAACCCAGGTGTCCAGCAACAGGGTGAATAAATATCCCTTGCAAGGAAACATTACACAGCTATGAAAAGGATAAGGAATTTCTATGTGTAATGATAGGAAGAGATCTCCAAGAAATAGTAATGAGTGGAGAAAAAGCACAGAAAGGGGTGTATAGTACACTAGTTCATGTCTGTGTGCGTGTGTAAAAAAAGGGAGAAAATTAAAACACATATTTGCATTTTTTGCATAAAGAAATGCTCAAAGTTTTAATAAACTAATAAAAATGGCTATCTATTGCTATGTGACAAGTTACCCCAAAACCCGGCAGCTTAAAACAGCACACATTCATTGTCTTGCCCAATTTCTGAGTGTTTGGAATTTGGGAGTGGCACAGCTGGGTGCTTCTGGCTCAGGGTCCCTCAGAAGCTGCAGGCTGCTCAGCCTCAACTGGAGCTGGGGAACCTGCTGCCGGCCTCACTTGCATAGTCTCACCGGCTGTCGGCTTCTTGTGTGTCATTCCTACAGGGCTGTTTACAACATAGCTTCTCCCAGAGTGAGTAATCCCACAAGTGGGAGACAGCATCCAAGACAGAAGCCAAAAATATCATTGTTCTTGTCATAGTCTGTTGGTCACATAGGCCAGCAGTGAAGGAGGGGACTGCACAAGTGTGTGAACAATGGTGGCCACAGGAATGGTAGCAGGAATTGAACTCAGGGCCTCTTAGCAATCACTCTGCCACTTGGGCCATACCTCCTGTACCTGGTCCTTTTAATTTTGATTTGGTTTTTAGATAGGATCTTGGGCTAACTTTGCTTGGGATGACCTTGAACCTTAATCCTCCTTCTTCCACCTCCTTAGTAGCTGGGACTATAGGTGTGTGCCACCCGCCACACATGGTGAATTTCTTAATGCATGTCTTTTCTGATTTTTCTCCTTTGGGTTTTGAACCATGTAAACCCCTTATCTACTTTAAAAGTAAAATAAAATTTCAATAAAAATGAATTTCCTTTAACCAGTCACTTGCTTGGTAGGCATTTAGATGGTTCCTAGTCTTTTGTTACTATAAACACTATGGCAGCTGGGCATGGTGATGAATGCCTGTAATCCCAGCACTCCAGGAGGTAAAGCAGGAGGATGTGAGTTCCAGGCCAGCCTGGGCTACATAGCAAAAAAAAAAAAAATCAGGCAAAATAAAACATTCAGGCCACCATTGAAATGGACATTTTGGGGCATATAATTTTGCACACAATGGGAAAGATACCCATGCAGGATTGGAAAAGCATAGTGAAAGGGTGTGAACATTTAAAAGCTGATTAAATATTTCTCAGGCATCTTCCACTGAGGTTATTTCAATATCTGCTCCCACTGACAATGTAAGATCATTTTTATCATAGTGTCTGATTCAAGGGGCCTGAGTGCTGCCAGGGTCTTGGTGTTTAAAAAAAAAAAAAGAATAGTTTTGTTTGTTTTTTTTTTAACTTGCTGAACCACCAAGGCTAAGATGTTGACAACAGATCCAGACCTTATATTCAGAGACATTTCCAAGCGATCCAGTTATTCCACCTCTGCCATCATGACCCAAACGCTTTCATCTTCCTCTTGGGTGGTGGCATGGACTTCTAATTGTTCCCTGCATCCCCACTACGACCCCTTCTGTCAGCCCTCCTCTGTGAGTCCTTTTTGCCATCGTGAATCTGCTCACATCCTCCTTCCCTCTGCCTGGGCCCCTTTGAGACTTCCTGAGTCGGATAAGACAGGAAAGCCTTGGCTGCCCTCCAGCCTCATCTCCCTGCTCTTCCTTCCTCTCCAGGAGGGCCCCTCCCCTGCACCGGCCTCCTGAGTTACCTCTCACTCTTCTGCCAGCTCACTATGCACGTATCAGGAAGTCTTCCCTGGCCTCCTAGCACAGGTCACACAGCCCCACGTATCTGCCCTTTGTGGCAATATCAAGTTGAAGTTGAACATTCACTCATTTATGTCATTTTTGGGAGCCTCTGTGTCCCCTCCTTGCATGGCTATGTCTACATGGGCTGTGATGGCCATGGATCATATCTTTCTCACCTGTCTCCAGCACCTAATGTAATACCTGGCACAGAACAGCCTCTGGGAAACAGCTGTTGAATAAAAGGGAACACTTCCTCAATTTTCTACTCCAAAACCAGGGGTAATGGCCTCCACATCCCAGGGTTTTGTGCAGGTGTTCC